CGGTTAACGTCTACCCCCCATCCCACATTGATGCAGAGAATAACGTGAACACACAAACGTGCAGATTAATCACATACAAGAACAACATTAATTTTGTGGGGGGGAATGAAACACGTGGAGTCCTGTAGCTTAGTGGTTTGAGCGCTCGGCTCACAAAGCAAGAGGACCTGGGTTCAAATAATAATTTGGTCACTCAATCCAAGACTGTTTGTGGGACTGTTGTTGTTTCGCCCACAAAACACACAGTCACCACACTTTACCGTGTATCCTGTGAAGAGCTTTGAGACGTCTCGTAGGCGTGAGATAAGGCGCTGTATCAAATGCAAGGATTATCATTATTAATTTACAGCGCAGAAGGAGGTTGTTTGGTTCTGGTGGTTGCTCTCTGAGTGAGTCTAAATTAGGATTACCTTTCCTCCCACACACACTTTTAGATTTCTAATTTTCAGATATTTATCTAATTCCCTCTTGAGAATCTAATACGAATCATGCCTCAACCACAGTTCCAGGTTGGGCGTTCCATGTCAAAACCCTCAGTGTTAAAAACAATCCCATAAACTCTCCCTTTGATCCTCTAGTGATTATCTTAAATCTGTGGCCTTCATTGACTGACTCACCGACAGGTGAAATTAATTCCTCCCTGTGTACATTGGCTGCTGCCTTTCGCCCGCAAAGAATACAGTCAATTCACTTCACAGTATGTTCTGTGAAGCGCTTTGAAGCATCTCAATGATGTAATCAAGTGCGGTATCAAATGCAAGGATTATTAGAATTATTATTATTGTTACATTCTCTAAAATCCTCTACTTGGTCTCCTCTCAGCCTTTGCTGTCTTAAAGGAAATTTCTCCATCCTTTCCTCTCAAAGCAGCAATAAATCTCCAGGGTCACAAGATTTGTTCGGGTGGAAGAAGTCCCTTCGGCCCATCTGATCTCATCCTTCCAGAACACCCACTCCACTGAGGTGTTTTGTTAAACGAGTCCCAGTGTCCCACCCTTCCTGGCAACCTGTTTCGGTCGTTAATCACCCTCCTGGCGCCTGTCTCAAAATTGTCCCGTGGAATTTGAACCCTCGACCTCTTGTTCCGTCCGCTGTCTTGATGCGGTGAAAGTATTGTCCTGGGTTTACTTTTTCTATCCCATTTTAAGTATTCTAGACTTCCATGAAGGACCTTAGAGAAGTTAAGAATAAAAAGAATTGTTAAGACAAAAGAAGACCAAGGTCCATCCAGTTCACCTTCCTCCCCCCCCCCTCCTGGCAGTCGCTTTGCACATGTCGTGTCCCAAACTATATAACGGTTATATATAAAATATGTATAAAATACCGAGATATTATTTCCTAACAGAAATCTATCTGATTCGCTGTTCTGTGGCTTTTCGGTAGGTTTCAGCATTTTGTGCTCATAATCTCAGCCTTGGAAAGTCTGATGGGACCTTTGTACCTGCACCAACTGGTGCAAATATGGGAGTTTATCTTATCCACAGATGCCATTACACCACAGAGTGTGCAGATTCTCGCTCTCGTCTCAGTCACAATTTCTGATACAGCGCGAGCTCCAACAACAGGAGCTGCTCCTTTCTGCGAAAAGGCAAAGACGTGAGAAAAGAACGTGAGAAAAGCAGCAATCGTAGGGGCCACCGACTGCATATAAGTGCAAGTTATATGTTGTTGTGGCATAATTAATAAATCTTAAAGAGAGAGATTCGCAGCCGGGGTTAGCTTCACGTTGTCACAAATAGCACGTACAAGGCCACAACTGCAGAGCGCAGATGCTGTGTGTGGCATTTCCACATTCCTCATGCCAACTGGTGTCGGTTCCTGAAAAACCAGTTCTCGTAAGTGATTCATGCAGCTCTGTGCTGGAAGGTTGGGGTCAGAAACCACAATTCTAAGTCAAGAATTTCTGTCGGGGAATAAAGTCTCGTTTTTTCTCCCCAGTGTCGCAGTCCCTCCGCCTCGCCCATTCCCTCGCCTCCTTCAAGACCCGTCTCAAGACCCACCTCTTCGACCGCGCTTTCGATCACCCTGGTTCACCCCCTCCCCACCCACCCACTGCCCTATCCCGACCCCCAGCTTTGGTCCAAAACACTGACTGTCCAGTGCCTTGGGACGTCCTCCCAATGCGAAAGGGGCTGCACACATGTAATGTTGTCGCTGTTGTAATCCACAACCTGACACCAGAGCCTCAAGGCCTCGCACGACAAAGAGAGTCTACAGTTACACAGCGCCGCTCACTTCTGTCGGGTGGATGTTTCAAAACACTTCAAAGTGACTGGGTGCCCCGACTCGGGTGGGGTGGGGAGGGGAGAAAAGGGGTCAAACACAGTCAAAAAAGATAGGCCTTGATGTCCGTCCATCAATGTCATCGTTCTCCATTCCACTGTCCCCAGTCCCAAAGACACACATCCCCGCGCGCACACACACACGCGCGCGCACAGTTCAGCTTTAGTTTGTCACAGCCTAACTGGGTATCAAATTTCAATTGGCTTGCGTGTGAGGAGAAGCGAACACAAGGCAAACACAGGGCGTGCGAGAGGATGTTCTGCCAGGCTACTCCAGAAAAATTTCAGTGGCACACTTTAGAGATGAAAGGAGCGAAGGAGGTAATGCACCAAACAATAACTTAATTGGGCAGCCAGGGCCAAAGAAACACTATTTCAACATGTTTGACTGAGGCTGAGCTCATTGTGCTTTGAAGTAAGTGATCTGAATAGATTTGGCGTGGATGTGAAAGTGGGTGTGCGCAAACCTTACTTGCTTATTACCGGGGCACGCTTTCAAATTTGACTGAAAGATCTTTTTTATAAAGGAAGGATAGAGGTCAAAAAAAAATCTGAACATTTCCACCCACTTATAATGCAAGGCTCAAATAGGGCAGCTATGGTAATAATAATCCTTCCATTTGATAGAACGCCTTATCACGTCTTCGAGACGTCTCAAATGGCCTCACCGAATGACACACCGTCAGAGACACAAACAGGCTCAACTTTCAAGTCTGTGGCGATACCTTTAACATGGCTCTGATCCACTGAATATTGCACAATACAGTCACACCACCTTACAGTATATCCTGCAAAGCGCTTTGAGACGTCGTGTTACGGCGCTATATTAAATGCGAGGATTACTATGGTTTTTTTTTAGGGTCTAGACAGTGCATGCAAAATATCAGTTCACATTTTAAACGCCACCGAATCCTCGCAGTGAAAGGAAGCAAGGAAATCATTTGCTTGGGAGGGTAAAATGCACGTTTATTCTTTATTTATTTTTAAATTGAGAAAACAAACTCAGCAATACAGTTTACAGTGTCAGGAGTGCTCAGGAAACGACACAAAAAAAAATGTTAGCAACCAGTTCAGGACATTCAATTGGAGTGCAGTCTTCTGAACAGTGAGTTTAAATCAGCACAGTGAGCTGTGTTGGATGGTGTGCGTGTGTGTGTGAAGTGGGTAAATAAGTGGATAGCACAGCAGAGCACTACATACTTTCAGCTTCAATTACAACACACTTCTTCTCTGAGTGGCTCCAAGACACTTAAAACCAGTTTGTGGTCACGACAGCAGTTTACGTTTCTCTTTTAAATGAAATCACTGATACATCATTGCCTGTAACTGGGTCTGAACAATCTCAACATTAAGGGGTCCATACCCTGACTCAGAAGGGAAAGGTCGATATATCATGGAAGGGGGGGGGAGGGGAGGGGTAAATTGAGACAAATGTGGAAATTCTCAGTGAGAGAAAAAAATAAGTGGGGAAGTTGAGGGGGTTGGGGGAGGGTCGCGCGGGAAGAGGAAAAAAAGAAATGAGGAAATTCACAGCAACAACTAAAATATAATGCTTTCAATTGTACCCTGAATCAAATTAACAGGGACTGGGAAAGGTTCAGTGCATTCGGTGTTGAGCAATCTCAACACGGCCTTTTGCGACTGGCGAAGAGCGAGGATTGGGTCCAAAGCTCAGTGTGTTTGTTCTCAGACAGAAACAGCCTTCACAAGACACTATCAATTGGAAAATGCCGTTACCATTAGTGGCCAATCCCAATAGGAGCCTCGCACAACTCCAAGCAGAACTTGAAGCCTGCTTAAGTTTACTGGTTTGTGGAGGATAGCGTGAAATCTTGCGTAGGTTGGACTACCTTAATAATAATAATAATAATAATCCTTGCATTTGATATAGCGCTTTTCACGTCGGGAGGACGTCCCGAAGCGCTTCACAGAACACACTGTAAATTGAATTGACTGTTTATTTGCGGGCGAACGCGGCAGCCAATTGCGCACAGCAATGTCCCACAACCAGTCGTGGATTGAAAATGACCAATTTATTATTGTTTTGTTTTGGAGGGATTATTATTAGGCTCTGTGTGGAGTAAGGAAACTTGCCCAAGGTTTCGCCCTCTGCCTGGAATTGAACTCAGGTCTCTCGCTTGCAAAGCGAGTGCTCTAACCGCTGAGCTACAGGACTCCACCTTGCAGTAAGTGGGAACCCGGTTGTTAAGTCGATCGGCTGATTGCTTTGCCAGGGGTAATAATTCCTTCAAAAAAATTAAAAAATGAAATAATAATTTGGTCACTCAATCCATGGATGTTTGTGGGACGCTGCTGTGCACAATTGGCTGCCGTGTTTCGCCCACAAAATGCAGTCAACTCACTTGAAAGTACGTTCCGTGAAGCAGTTTGAGGCGCCTCAACGATGTGATAAGGCGCTGCATCAAAATGCAAAGATTATTATTATTATTACTCCCGAGTTAATCTGTAACGATTCCAAAATCCTTCTGCTCTTATATCGACAACAACTGCATAAAACGGGTCGTTTTAAAAAAAAATAATAATACCACCGTCTCAACAGATATATTATGCAGGTGCCGGATTTATTATTTTTTTAAATTAAAAACAGGAAGAAAACCTTACTCTTTTTTTTTGGCACTGGCTAGCAGGAAAATGTGCTGAGTTTTAATTTCGGAGATCTCAGGCAAAATTTTTTTTGTTTTGCTTGTGCTTTTTAAAAAAAAAAACAGCAGAAATACTTAGTGCAGTAACATCAGATAACCAAATCAAACGCTGCGAAAAAATGGCCACTATGTGCAAAAACTAAGAACACGAGAGAGGGAGAGAGAACACGAGAGAGAGAGAGAGAGAAAGAGAGAAAAAAGTGGTGTGTGCAAATCAAGGCATTGACAACTTAACAACACAGATCGGATCCTCTCGGCGTGCCTAAAGCTTTGGTGTTTTTCTGGAGCGAAACACATTGTCGGTGGCGTCAAAATATCCCAAGTGCGTCTTGTGCAAACATCCGCCGGTCCGAAAATACATGCGAGAGGCTGTCCTTTGACACCCAGCAACACAAACGGGCAACTTTTTTTTTACTGCGGTGTCTAACCTCACCTCAACCCCCTCTCTGCCCCCAAAACTGTTTGGTGTTGGGGTGGTGGGGGTGGTGGCGGAATAAAACAGCGAAACTGTCACTTGCGCCTCACCCATATGGCAGTGGGCTTGCTCCGATTAACTTTGGCATTGTGTAGTCTGGTCGTTTGTTGTCTGCCGTGCCTCGGAGTGAAGATACTACAAAAGTCACCCTGGTGCACTGGGGGCTGGAGGCGGACTTGGCGCGAGTTATCATTTGCCAAAGGGAGCGGTGGTTAGAATTCCCAAGTGAAAGAGTTTCAAACTCGCCAAGGTTTGGTGAAGGGGCGGGCGGAAAGAAAGGAAAGCCTTTAAAATAGTGGAAGGTGACAAACCCGTCCCATTCCTCTCACCAAACTGAGAATCTTATGCCATTCTTGTGGTCAAACTCACCTAAATAAGAGCCCGCACCCCCGGATGGCTCAATAATTCTTCGAGAATCACTAGGAAACGTCCAAAAACAGTAAAATAAATAAGGCCCCCACGAGGGCTATACAGTACACAGAATAGCAGCCTGTGCTTGGGACCAGGCTTCACAGTTTAAAGTTCTAAATAATACATTCAAGCTTTCAGTTGTCTAGAAAGTGACATTATACCCACTGCCCACGACATGTAGACCTGTGAGGTTTGATCTTAAAGCTACAAAACCTTTCGTACTATTCAACATGTAATGAACACAGGAAAAGAATACTGAAGTTGATGCCTTTCCCCCGACCCACACACATATTATATATATATTAAAAAAAACTATCAAGAAAGGTTATTTGACTCTTACACAGATTGTGAATTTCAAACGCTAATGGTCTTCTGAATTGTGCAAGGCTGCTTGTTTCGGTACAGCAAACCCATAGAACTTGCAGTTTAAACGAGAGGCAGAGAGCTGCCTAGTCATTGAAGGTAGACAATTTGACAGGAATCACGTCATGAACCGAGTAATGGCTCTCAATGCATAGAGTAGTGCAGCTTGCATTCTAGCTTCGAGGAGGAGCAAGTTTACATGGACCTGAACACAGGCGAGGGAAAAAAAATAGAACAAAAAGTTTTAATAGAACGCTAACTAATAAAATGCACAATGTACAAGGAGACAGCCAAATGCGCAAGGTATCTCGATTTATATAATCATCGTATATTCCGTGAAGCGCTTTGAGACGTCTTGAAGACATGATTAGGTGCTATACCAAATGCAAGGTTTATTATGATTATAAATCTTATCATCATCCGATACAGCGCCTTATCACGTCTTCGAGACGTCTCAAAGCTAGAATACTCTGTCAAGTCTAGTGACTGTGTATTTTGTGGGCGAAACGCGGCAGCCAATGGCGCACAGCAGCGTCCCGCAAACAGTCGTAGATTGGGTGACCGCATTTTCTTTGGGGGGAATATGGTGGATAAGTCGATACACTGCGCAACGGGTCTAACTTGCGAAATGCATATTATTCTTATTTTTTATATAAAATTCAAAGAATTGTAGGAGAAATAAATACCTTTTCCGAATGTTTAAAGTGTCTCCAGAAGCCGTTGTACATTCGCTTGGTGGTTTTCTCGGGATAACAGGCCACTGTCTTGATGTACATCTTTAAGCTGCGTTCTAGCAGTTGATTAACTTCCCCGTAGTCATAGTCGTCGTATCTACTCAGAGCAAAACAACAAGCCACGAGACGCTGAATAACCAGCCGAAATAACAACATAGCAATCCTTGCAATCGATACAGCCCCTTCTCGAGATGTCCCAAAGCGCTTCAGAGGATATCCTATAGAGCGAATTGACTGCATATTGTATGGGCGAAACGCAGCAGCTAATTGCGCGCAGCAGTGAGTTACAAACAGTCATGGATTGAGTGACCAAATTATTATCATCAGTAGTAGTAATAAAATCCAAGTTCAAAGGCTCAAAACTAGTCGGGGAGTAATTGCCATTTGCAAAGCCTACTTTCGAATACAATTATAATAATAATAAGCCTTGCATTTGGATATGGAGCCTTATCATGTCAGGAGGATGTCTCAAAGCGCTTCATAGAATTTAGCCGCTTTGCAAACAGCAACGTCCCATAAACGGCCACAGAGTGAACGTCCAACGTAACAACTCAGTAGATGTATTTGAGCGTCAGCCTGGACTGTGTGAGTGAGTTCAAAGTCCTGACGTGGGGCTTGAACCCACAACCTTCTGGACGGGAGGTGAAGGAGTTGCCACATGAGTTGGGCTGCGCACACACACACACTGTACATGCACACACAAGCCATTACGTACCTGATGCCGAATACACAATGGATGTAATTCCAAATGGCTCGTCTCAGCATGGAGGTGTCTACATCGCAGTGCATAGCCATGGTGTTGTACGTCAGAGTATACACCACCTGAAACTTCTCATCCAAAAGCTGCCCAACTTCAGGGAATAGGCGGTTAATCAACGAGTAACCGTGGTCTTCCCAAGAGTAATCCTAGAAGCAGAGGCACGAGACTTACAAGAAGTATCCTCGCATTTCTGATACAGCGCCTCATCACGTCGTCGAGACGTCTCAAAGCGCTTCGCGGGAAACACCATAAAGTGGAAATTTCCAGTGATGATCGAAGATTACTCCACAGGTGTAGAAGCCCCGCGAGACACTAACCCGGGTGCAGGCTGCCACATAAATGAAAGTTGTTGCCGTGGTTGAGATATTTCCATTTTGCCGCTCTGACCCCGCTCAGGTCTCCATTCCCCCCCGCCCCCACCCCACAACGTCCACCCCGGACCCTGTGGTCCATTACCTGCGCCCGGAACGTGGGTGGAGTGTGCTCCCCTCGACGGCTGAAGTCCTTGTATCCGAACTCTGCATCCTTCACGAGGCACGACAAGTTGGTCGGAGGCAAGGTTTCTCCGTCATCTGCTGGGAGAAGACCGCAGTTAATTGTCGCCCAGCAACGTTCCCAAATCCCGACGTGGGGCCTGAACCCCTTTAACCCGGGCTTGACCCCGAGGCAGGGCTGAGCCAGGCGAACGCCCGATGAACGGGAAGAACGAGCTCCGAGAGGCGGGAAGGTTTGCGTGCGGGCGGGCGGCTGAGTTCGGGACACTACCTGTGGGGGTCACGAGCAGGCTTTCCCATTTCTCCTTCTCGAACCTGGTGGCCATCTCCTCCTGGCTGGCCTCCTCGTCCTGTCGGCCTTCCTGCAGCACCTTCATCTTCTCCATCAGCACCTCCACCTCGCACAGGGCGTCTCTGGCCTGAAAACCCATCGCAAAGGGAATCGATGAGAGGAACTCTGAATGCCACTGGGTAAAATGTGGTCCGTCAGCCTTTCCGCCCCCTCTCTATCCCGCTCTCCGCTACTCCATTTTGCAGTATCTCGACCTCTCTCTCTCCCTCCCTCCCCACCACAATGCTCTCTCTCTCCCCCACCCGCTCTCTCTCTCTCTATTCCCCCCCCCAACACACATCGCTCTCTCTTTGCACCTCGCATCCCCCTGGGTGTGACATATTTGGGGACAGACTCCCCCCCCCAAAGAAAACAACACGCCACAGAAAACAAAATTCAATAACAAGCTTTTGCATTAAAAACCCTCTGCCATCTCGACCCAAACCCAGCGACTGAAAGCAAACAGCGCCATGTTTAGGAACCATTGACGAGCGCTTATTAAGAGCTTGAGCAGAGGATGGATTCGCTTACTCCGTTGCCGTTCACGGCCTCCTCCAACGTGGCGATTCTCGGGCTGTCTGAGCCGTGGCTGCGGGGGGAGGGCGGGGAGGGAGGTCTGAAGGTGTAACCGCCTTCCTGGTCCACCTCTGGCCTGATACTGCAGCCCAGCACGAAGGAAGCCAGGGAATGGTAATGGGTGAGGAGAACCACAGCGTGGATGAGTTCTGCCAGAGTCCAGCTGTTCTCACCAGCCTTCAACAGGTTCTAGGGGAAGCAGAGAGATAAGACACACGAGAACAACAACCAACTGCATTTACGTAGCGCCCTTCACGCCCTTGCACAGAATCTCAGAGTGCTTGATATTGAGGTTGGGCGAAGTTTATTAACTCAGCAGTTTCTATATCAGCTTAGCAACATTCCAGCGTAATATTTTCAAGTCTAAAGCTGATTTATGCAGCACCCCTGAACCCTCGGCCCTTCCTCTCCGCCCCACCACCGATCTCAGGCTGCGTGAAGCGCTTTTGAGACGTCCTCCCGAAAGTAAGATTATCATTGCTGTTGACGACCGGGTGGCGAGTCAGCTTTGCAGCGATAAGCCAACTCCACACGGGACCCTTAACGAGGAGCGGGCTGGGACCTGCAGTAGCCCGGAGACTGAGCGGAATGGACGGAGGCGAGAGGGAAGAACGAGGCGGGAGAGGAATGGACGATGCGGGGAGTTTTACCTCAATGTGCTCTTTGGTGATGAGCCACGGTCTGTGAGCCAAGATTTTGTTGATTTCGTTGAGATTCCTCATCTTCTGGGGTACAAAGTTCAAGCCGTTCAACCACACGGGATTTCCGCCAACTTGGAGGAACTCGTTGATGTGGAGATTGACCAGGTACGAACACTGGTGGCGAGCTGCAGCCTGCGACAACAGGTCAGAGAAACGCCCGTTAGAAGGTTTGGCGTCTATTTGAGGAAGACCGTAACGGAGGTCAAAAAAATAAGGAAGAACCCTTACATTTGATACGGCGCCTCATCACGTCCTCGAGACGTCTCAAAAGTGCTTCACAGGATATACTGTAAATTGAATTGACTGTGTATTTTGCGGGCGAAACGCGGCAGCCAATTGCGCACAGCGGGGTCCCCACAAACGGCCCCCCCCACCCCCAAAAAAACCCACACCAGTTTCAGAAAATCCTCGGAGACTCTTTTTCCCCACTCCCCCCCCCCAAAAAAAACCGCCAGTTTCTTTATGTATTAAATTGCGTTTAAGACGGATTGAATTTGACGGCTGTCAAGTCCGTCCATCTGTTAAAATGGTCACCGGAGTGGGGGACGGATTCTTCCCACTCGGCTCCTGTTAACCTTGGAACGTAGGAACGGCTGGACAAATAAAGGCCAAGGTCCCTCCAGCACAAGGGTTGGGGATCACTCACCATTATGGCCACATAATGCCTGTAGTGATAGGGCAGAGGGCCATCCATCTGCAGCAGATAGTACTGAGTTTTCCAAAAGCTGTCGAGGTACTGCGGGTGCAAACCCATCACCATGGTTACGTTGTCCACCCGGCCGGTCGACACAAAGGCCTCGATAAAGAGCTGCCTCTCAGCATCGTCCAGGCCTTCCTGCAGGATCTGCAACAGAAGGTAAGAGTCAATGCGGCACATCTGCCAATGATCAGACCCTGGTTTTGTTGCCATAATAGGGAGCCCGTCCCCATTGCCGGTCACGCTCGGGCAAACAAAAGGCACCGAATGCGCAGAACAGAGAGTCAAAAGGTCCCTTCATCGTCTGAGCCGAGTTGCAGGGTCTCAGCTGGAGATTAGCAGTGGACTCGGCACGCTGTGGTAGGAAGGAGGGGGAGGTGGGGGGGGGAGAAGGAGAGAGAGAGAGAGGGGGGGGAAGAGGACAGAGTGGAGGAGGATGCGGGAGGAGAGGGGGAGGATACAGAGGGGGACAGCGGAGGGGAAAAAAAAAAGAAAAGGTTTCACCCTTTTAATAATAATCCTAGCGTGCAATATGGCACCTTAATACTCTAAAAGGTTTTTAAACCTCAAATCTTTTTATCCTTGAGGTATCAAAAATACACCACCACTAATATCAATAATTGTTCAATTTTAGTACAGGTTGGAAAAAAAAGACTACAATTTGACTATTTTAAGACACGACGTTTACTGCAACGCTGTAAAATCTGCAGCACCCACTCGAAATATTGTCCTTGCAGAGACTATTTGTTTTGCAGTCCCCATATCAGGCGTAACGCAAACCTTTGGAAGGTGAACCTGATCACCCTGATTTGGCTGTGGGTGTGTGTGTGTGTGAGAGAGTGAGTTTCTCTCACTCTGTGTGTGAGAAAGTTTTCTCTCTCACACACACACACACAATCACTACACTTTACAGTAAAGCTAAGTGCTTTGAGACGTCTCCACGACACAAGACCCTATATCAAATGCAAAGGTTATTATTTCATTAGCGGGGGAATAGGATTGATTTGTGCGGCTCCTTTCAAAAAGCCGACAGACACAATGGACTGAATGGCCTCCTTCTGTACTGTATAATTCTATTAGTAGCAGCAACAATAATATTCCTGATCATGATCTTGACTCTAACTCCGTCGAACGCTGCTACAAGTGAGGTGGGGGTGGCAGTACAGGACCTGTGACTGTGCCGCAAAATATAGTCAATTAATTCACTTTAGTGCATTCTGCAACGCGCTTTGAGATGTCTCGAAGAGGTGATAAGGCTGTAGATCAAATGCAAGGATCATTATTCCACGATCTAAACCCTCACCCAAATTAAACCTGTGTGTTTTGTTTTGAAAAAAAATCGGTCGAATTCAGATGCTGACAACACAAACCAGTCGAGGTTACGTGAGTGAAAACTAGACGAACGGACGGAAGGTTTAAGAGTCATTGCTGCAGGCACCGTCACAGCGCTTTTCAGACAAAAGCGTAGAATATTATAAGTTGTCGTCATGAACCAATGCTTTGAAACAACCAAGTAATCAAGAAATCACATACCTCCTTGACCGGAATGAAGGAACTTGAACCTTGACCGAGCGGTTGCGGGATTTTAACTTTTCGCTCCTGAAAAATAGATGTTTTTTTTAAAAAAAAAATATGTTAAGAGCTTAGTCCACAAGCCGTCCCTAACCGGAGAGAGAGAGAGAGAGGGAAAAAAAACCACATTAATAGAAACAATCACCTTTTATACCAGACGAGTCCTAACACGGATTTAAATCGAAATATTTCAATGCTATACTTGTATGAGTGTACACACCGTATAGGAAAAATGAGATCTAACACACGTAATACAGACATATCTCGCTTTCTCTCTCTATAATACATAATATATTAATTGATATATATATATATATATATAAAGCATATACACTCGCGTGCACATACGTACCATTTGAAAAGCTACCACCTATTAAGTTCATGAAATAAAACCTGCGTACAGGACAGGTTTCCATTGAGGTTCCGCTGCTGTCAGAGTCGATCCCAATCTCAAAGTGAGCCAAGCAAACTGCTCGCTCACCACAGTCCCTCTGACGCCAGAGTTACATGCAGCAACATTCAGATTAGTTACGTCATTCAGCATGCCTGGCCTCTGTCTCACTACAGCTTCCCTTCGGAAAATAAAGTACAAGCTGCGCACTAGGTTTAGTTAGATAAAAACCTGAGCCCTCTAATAGGAAGTGCCAAAGCGCTCCATGGAATGAGACATCTTGAAGACATGATAAGGTCCTACATCAAATGCAGGGATTATTTTTATTATTATTATCATCATCATCAAGCCAGCAGTGGAACTCACAGCCGTGCAGGCAGAGGCGAGGATTAAACCCGCCAGAGATTTAACACCGGCAAAACATTTGGATTACAACCACAACAACTTGCATCTACGTATCGTCGCTCACAACAGTTGGTGGAGTCTGAGGCCGAGCCAGGGGGAGAGGGGAGGTGACCTTAGGCGCAGTCGAAGAGGATATTCTTCAGGTGTGATCCGAAGGTGTGCAAAAGAGGGGTGCAAGGCGGAGGGATCGAGGCAGAGAGTTCCAGCGGGTCGGGGCGGAGAGGCTGGAAGCACAGCCGATTGCACAGACGTCGAAAAGGACCAGTGGAAATGCCCGTCTGTCCTCGCGCGCTCTGCGGGGGTAACTTTAGTGGCGTTGACTTGTTTGAACAGGCAGGAAAACAAGTAGCGGAAGAGTTTGTGATCAATTAATCAGATACCACATGCCCTCACTTGGGGTTTTGTTTTATTTTGGCTGGGTGACAACAACAACAAGATTACATTTGCATAGCGCCTTTCACGTCGGGATTGTGTATAGCGCCTTTCACGTTATTTTAGCTGGGTGACAATATCTCCCCCCCAAAAAATGTGTCATTTACCAGAAACCCGGGAGACTTTTCCAATCCATTTCCATCAAGGTGTAACTGGAATATAATAATAATCCTTGCATGTGATATAGCGCTTTTCACGTCGGGAGGACGTCCCAAAGCGCTTCACAGAACACACTGTAAAGTGAATTGACTGTATATTTGTGGGCGAACGCGGCAGCCAATTGCGCACAGCAATGTCCCACAAACAGTCGTAGATTGAAAATGACCAATTTACTATTGTTTTTGGTTTTGGAGGGATTATTATTAGGCTCTGTGTGGTGTAAGGAAACTTGCCCGAGGTTTCGCCCTCTGCCTGGAATTGAACTCAGGTCTCTCACTTGCGAAGCGAGTGCTCCAACCACCGAGCTACAGGACTCCATAATAGTAATAGTAATAATAATAGTAATAATAATTCGCGTACCCCGCGAAGCGCTTCGGGACGTCCCTCGTGGACGCGACCCGGGCCCTGCCCTCCCCGACGCGAGGCTTTTACCCTCGCGGGCGCATTAAAAAGATATATACAATTCTAATTAACAGAATTATAATATAATATCATTGCGATACAAAGAAAAACCGTTTCGAAAGCCCAACAGCAGATTTTTTTTTTTTTTTTTGGAAAACCCAATATGTCACAACACGTCTATTTCCTACCTAATTCGACTTCAAACAGTTGACTGGCAAACATGTTTCTAAGGAAGTTTGGGCTGGATACTATAGCAAGTGTCATCTCGTTGGTCTTGCCCCACACACACACACGAATACAGACTCAACAGTAAACTGTAATGAAACTATAAGAGGAAGTTTTTAAACCCTGCACTTAAAAGGCAGACAGACAGACAGACAGACGGACAGAGCCGCTGAAATTGACCCTCTGTCAATGGTTTACCTTGAAGGCTTGACCTTTGTTAAATTCAGTCTCGGCAATTTGCCCACTTAAAAATCGCTCTCTTGAATTGCATTCCTGTTTAATAAGAAAGTTTACGCTGGTCACCCGCAGAAAAAAAAAACAGTCAATTCACTTTACGGTGCACTCTGTCTGTGAAGCGCTTTGAGACGCCTCGAAGGCGCGATAAGGCCCCTTGTCAAACGCAAGGACTATTATTATTGATTCTCTCAGAGCCTTCAGCTGTCCTCCCGACGTGAAAGGCGCTGTGTAAATGCAATTTACTGCCTTCCTTTACGTTCACCGTCTCGGTTTTCACGTGCAGTTTGGCCGCCTTGGGAGGGAGGCTGTTTTACCAATCCTGTTGAGTTTGTAGGCAACAACATCAAGTTACAGGGAAAGGGTGGTGCGGAGGGGGGGGGAACATAACCACAAGCAAATTCTCTGGTTGGAAGGCAAAGCGATTCTACCCGAACAAGATTTTTCCTCTTATTCGCCCAGGGCTTTCGTGGCAATTGCAAGAGCTGCCTCCAAGTTGCCCGCTGAAGGTTTACGGGTAGGTCTGGAGCAAGCTGAGAGTAAGCATGTTGAACGACCCCAATCTTTTATTCCGAGGCTACAAAAGTGTTATTTTTTTTACCAGTTACGTCATCTCGAAAAGAGGAATAGTTTCACAGTTTTCTTTCTCTCCTTCCCCCCCCCACCACCACCCACCACTACCCAAATCAATTTTCCTTCCGGCTCAAGCAAATAGCTTGCAAACCCCCGCACAAATAACTTCTGCGTGACAATCCAATAAAGCTGCCAGCTGGAGCAGGAAATCAAAACGGTTCGGATAATCAGACTTTTTTTTAAACCGATACAGATACGACAACGGAAAAGAGAGTCTACGAGCACAAAGACAGAGAGAGAGAGAGAGGAGAGAGAGAAACAAAAGCCTTAAACCCTTCATAAGACGCGTTACAAAGGCAACTGTTCCTTTTAGCCTAAAGGGTCTTTTATTTCCAAAATGATGATAAGTTTCTGTTTTTTTTTTAAAAAAAAACTTCCTTTCCCCCCGGGGCTCCGGAGCGAAGGCTGCGATTCGTTTAAAAGCACATTTCAAATAAGGGGGAACAATCCCAATGGTGATGATGATAATAATAATAATAATAATAAACCTTGCCATTGATATAGCGACTTGTCACGCCGTTGAGACGTTCTCACACACACACACGCGTGCGCCCGCGTATAATTGTTTTAAAAAAAAATGTAAAAAAAAAAGCCTTTCTCCTGGATCTTGAGCACCAATTATCGATCCGATCACCAAATTATTAAAGCCCGTTGGGTGCAATAACTGCAGGAGGGCTCTCGCCATCGAGTGGCTCCGCTGAACAACAACAACAACACTGCATTTACATAGCGGCTTTCGCGGCGGGAGGACGTCCCAAGGCGCTGCGATGAAATAGATAACTTTCACCGCAAACACGAGGTGGTAACAGCGCCCGGGATTCCTCCCCACCCACTACCTTGATACGAGCCATTTGCCATTCGTCACAGGTGAGATAGTCCGGGCGGTTGTCTATGGTGGCGGCTACTCTCATGGCAGCCAGACAGGAGGCGTCAGAGACAGACAGACAGACAGACAGACAGAGAGAGAGGCAGTCACACAGACAGAGAGAGTCACAGAGACTGTCACACAGACAGAGAGAGTCACAGAGACAGTCACACAGACAGAGAGGGAGACAGTCACACAGACAGAGAGAGAGACAGTCAAACAGACAGAGAGAGTCACAGAGACAGTCACACAGACAGAGAGAGAGACAGTCACACAGACAGAGAGAGTCACAGAGACAGTCACACAGACAGAGACACAGACAGACAGAGACTGTTAGACAGACAGAGAGAGAGAGTCACACAGACAGAGAGAGACAGTCACACAGACAGAGACACAGACAGACAGAGACTGTTACACAGACAGAGAGAGAGTCACACAGACAGAGAGAGACAGTCACACAGACAGAGAGAGACAGTCACACAGACAGAGAGAGTCACAGAGACAGTCACACAGACAGAGACAGTCACACAGACAGAGAGAGTCGCACAGAGAGAGAGACAGTCACACAGACAGAGACAGTCACACAGACAGAGAGAGTCACACAGCCAGACAGATAGAGAGAGGGTGACACAGAGGGTGACACAGACAGGGTGGGGGCAGGAGCTCCTGCTCTGAGCTCCAGCTGATACAAGCCTTATATACAGCGCCGGCCAGGCCCCGCCCACCGCCGGCCAGGCCCCGCCCACCGCCGGCCAGGCCCCGCCCACCGCCGGCCAGGCCCCGCCCACCCACCAATCGCGGGCCCAGGGGGGAGTAGGGGGTGTGGTCTAGCTCCTGGCCCCGCCCCCTCAAACAGCTGGTCACACAGACACACACAGAGAGACAGACACACAGACAGAGAGAGACACACACAGACACACACAGAGAGACTGACACACAGACAGACAGAGACACACAGACAGATAGTGACACACAGACACACACAGAGAGACAGACACAGACAGACAGAGACACACAGACAGACAGAGACACACAGACACACACAGAGAGACAGACACACAGACAGAGAGAGACACACAACACACACAGACAGACAGAGACACACAGACAGATAGTGACACACAGACACACACAGAGAGACAGACACACACAGACAGACAGAGACACACAAACACACACAGAGAGACAGAGACACACAGACAGATAGTGACACACAGACACACACAGACAGACAGAGACACACAGACAGATAGCGACACACACACAAAGACACACATAGAG